GCCGTCGACGAAGACGACGTCGCGAAACAGCGTCCGAAATGGCCTCCGAAGCGGCCTCCGAAACGTTTTCCCGAACGGCCTCCGAGCTAACCGCCTCCGGGACGGCCTCCGAGCCGGCGTCGGAAACGGCCCTCGAACCGGTTTCCGAGACGGCCTTCGACACGGCCTGCGACAAGGCCTCCGGCACGGCTTCCGAAACGGCTTCCGACGCGGCCTCCGACGCGGCCTCCGAAACGGTTCCCGAAACAGCTTCCGAAACGGCTTTCGAAACGGCTTCCGACACGGCGCCCGACACGGCGTCCGAAACGACGTCCGAAACGGCCTCCGACACGGTCTCCGAAGCAGCCTCCGAAACGAAACGGCTTCCGAAAGGGCCCATCTAGTTCCAAAGCTTCTCGACCCCCGGAACCCAGAACCCCCGAGTTCCCGGTTTTGCTCTGGGCCCCCTCGGTGCGACAAGGAAAACCCGGAACCCCGGGGTTCCGGGTTTCCACCCTTGGAATTCCGGGTCTACCGCCCCGCCCCCCCCCGAACGCGCCGCCACGCCGCCCGCCCTGCCAGGCCAGCCCCAAGTCTCCAGGGCCTCATGGCTGCAGTTGCACTCGCCACCGATGACAAACGGAAGGCGCACTTCCGCGAAGCGCTGGCCAACCCGCGCCAAGATGAGCTGCCTCTCCGCGTCGAGCCCCGACGCGCGCGCGACCAGGTAGACCGAAAACGCCGGGAATCCGCCTGGGACCACCGCGTTGATCCACCTCGCCAGGGCGCGATCCGCTTGAAGCGGCGAACCCCTCGGCGGCAGGCTCATGCCCAAGCGCGGGCAGGCGGCGCCCACCCCGCGCGAGAGGCCCCCGCGCTCCGCGCGCGTGGCCTTCGTCAGCGACGCCTTCCAGCCTTCGCCGCGGCAGGCATGCTTAACCTGCGCCACGGTGCCCGGCGGCGCGCCCGTCTCCTGCAAGGAGGCGATGTCCCCCACGGCCTCGGTCTGCAGCCATTTGAGCATGCTCGCCTTGGACGTGTTGGCCGCCTCCAGCCTCCAGCATTCGCCGGCGTGGTGTTTGCTCTCCAGCAGGCGCGGCGGGTTGGCCACCGTCAGCTGCTCGGCAGCCTCCGCCCCCCGCCGCCGCGGCCGCGCCTGTGCCCGCGGCCTCGCGCCCGAGGGGCAGCTTGGCATGCTTGGGCAGCGGGCGCCCTTTGCCTTCGAGGAAGGCCTCGAGCTCCCCCCGCTTCTCGTCGTCGCGGGCCCCGACCGATTCGAAGAGGGCGCATATGTCCACGTCTCCTCCTGAGTCCGCCCCGCCGCCGCCGGCGGTGGGGGCGCCACGCCAGGGATCGCCTGCAGTGGGCGGCGCAGGAGCAGCAGCGGGAGCAGCAGCCGCCGCGGCCGCCGCAGCATCGACTCGCGCCTGGGAAGCGGCGACCAAGCGGCTGAGCAGCTCGACGGCCTGGGTGAGCCGCACTGCCCCCTCGTCGTCGAAGCGCCCCTCTGAGCTCGGCCACGCGCCGCGCGCCCGCCGTCGCCCGGGCCAGGGCGTCGCGGTCAGCCGAGGGCCCGCGGGCGCGAGGCCAGCCTGCTCGGCCTGCCGCGCCCGCTCCAAGGCATCGGTGGCCCCCCTGTGAGAGGCGCGCGCCGAGGCTCCGTGCTTGTCGGCCTCCTCCACGGCCGCCTGGGCATCAGCGAGGACCTCCTTCGCCGCTGCCGAAGCCGCCTTGGCCTTCTCCAGTTTCTTCCCCGCGTTCGTGGCCTTCCACGTGGCCGACTGCGCCGCGGACAGGTGCGAAGGCGGCGCCTTGGGCTCCGCAGGGCCCGCCTCGGCCTTGCCCAGCCCCACCTTCTTCTCCTCCCCCTCGCCAACGCCCGCCCCGTTGGCCTCCGGCAGCTCGACGGCCCCCGCGAGCTTGGAGGCCTTAGCGGCCTGGGCCTCGGCCGCCGCGAAGCGCGCGCGCCTCGGCTGGCCGCCGCCGCGCGCCCAGCCGCCAGCGTCCGCTTCCTCGGGGTCCACCACCTCCTCCATGTTTCCGCCAGCCTTGTCGCGGGCCTTGGCGCGAGGCTCGGCCTCGGCGGCAGCGCCGCGCGGCTTGGGCGGGGGCGAGCCGTCCACGGCAGGGCCAGCCGCTCGCTCGACCGCCCCCTGACGCACGAGGAGAGGCGCGCTCTTGCCGCAAGCCCTGCACGAAAGCCGGCTCGCCCAGTTCGCGCTCTCTCCGCAAGGGCAACCCCGGCACGGGGTCTCGAACCCCGGCAGCGCATCGGGAGAGCGCCACGGATGCACCCCACCACCTCCGTCGGCCCCACGCTGGCGGGCTAGCGGGCGGCGGGCACGCATGGCAGCAAGCTTCCGAGCCCCACTGGCCCCTACAGCCGGGCCGCTCTGAAGCGCGCCTGCAGAGACTCCTCGGCCGCAGCCTCAGGGGCCAGAGCCGCTGCACATCCCCCCCCCCACCTCCCCATGTCGGCCCTTTAAGACGAAGGCATGATGATTGAACATCTCAGACGAAAACCAACCAACAACCCCTGACAACTGGCTGGCGCCTGGAGGAAGCGGCGAGCGCCGCGGCCGTGTCAAAAGGCATTCCAAAACGCCGCGCAGCGAGTCATGCTCGCATCCCCTGTCCCCCTGCCATCCCCCACCGTAGGTAGAACCCACTTGCAGTCCAAATGGCAGAAGGGCGCCACCTCAGACTGGCAGACGCCGGTTCCCTCTCCTCGCCCCTCAGCCCTAAGTCTCCTCCTCGAACCTCTCCCCACCCCCCCTAAAATTCCTCATCCTCTTTCCTTTCCTGGCCATCTCCGCCTCGCTGCTACTCCACCTCCCCCTACTCCTCATTCTCCGTCTTAGACCTCCATCCTCCCTCCTACCACCCTCTCCCCGTCCTCGTGCTTCTCTTCTTCTAATTTCTCCTCCTCCTCCTCCTCCTCGTCGCCCTCCTCATCTTCCGCAACCTCCTTCAATCCCTCCCCCTCGATTGCTCTCTCTCTCTCTTTCTCTCTCTCTCTCTCCTCTCTTTCTCTCTCTTTCTCTCTCTCTTTCTCTCTCTTTTTTATTTTCTCTCTCTCTCTCTCTCTCCTCTTCTCTCTTCTCTCTTCTCTCCTCTCTCCTCTCTCTTCTCTCTTCTCTCTTCTCTCTCTTCTCTATTATCTTCTCTCTCCCTCTCTCTCTCTCTCTCTCTTCTCTCTCTCTCTCTCTTCTCTCTCTCTCTC